TTCGAGGTAGATCGTTTGTTCGGTAAAAAATAAGAACCTCTTTTCTGTCAATAATAATAGGCTCGTATTTAATTTACACTTCAATAAATGTACTTTTGGAACTACTGGGAACCATGTCGCTCACCTGGTCTTCCCTGGACAGACCACATAGATACTCGAAGAAGCCATCATTCCAATTACCGCTATCACTTTTCAAGTCTTATAAAAGGGGCTGCAAGTTACTCTAGATTGATCGCATGCAATCCACCGCTCGCCGTTGAATTCCAAATGGCCCCCTCAGCCAAGACCATCCGGTACAGCAAAACCGACGAGCTAGATCGATATTATAGATCTGTATTTTCAAAACTTTCTCAAAAAGCTATACGTACGCTTTTAAATCAACTAAAGCGACCGGAGTTTATCGGAATTGGAGCCGGTAAGACTTATCGCGTATGATACAGGAGGGAGCTAATGGGTTTTCTTAAAGAGCAGGAAGCAATGACTGAAACCGGGCGTGACGAGATAAGTACGCTTGTCAAAAAATTGCGCAAAGAGCCCTTTGAATATTTTCGTCGTGCATTGGAGCGCGCTGAAAAAACATTTGAAGAATCGGAGCATGAAGAGCTTGAACATATGCTGTCTATCAGGGAAACTGAGCTGAAATACGAAAACGGAGAATTCGGTTCGTTATATCTCTTTCGCTTGATTAAATCCCCACTAAAAAATTATTCGAAAAAGACGAAAACAATTTCAAATATGAAATTTTGATTCTGTGCTGGGAAACTTAGAGGTATTATACCTTCCTCTGAGGTATGAGCCTCAAGCGTTACGTGGCATTGCCCTGGGAAAATAATATGCTAGAATAAATTGATCTGATCTACAAAAAAGATGATGTTTTCATTTTAAGTACCTAGATCAAGTGCTATCATAAATTTCTCAAACGAATGCAAACAGCCTGTGAGAAATGAAAAACCTTTTCATTTTAGAATTTATATTATTTCTATGTTGCAAAGAGTCGGCATAGTGCTTAGGATAAGATGGAAAGCAGCAGAAACTTTGGTCAAAAAGTCAGAACATAAAGACTTGCTTTGATAATTACACCAAGTTGGGATGTCTCAAGTGATTTTTGTACATATTGATGTAGCGATTCTGCAACCTTTGATAACTCATTTTTTTTTTTCATAAGGAGCCTATATAACTAGGAACTAAAGTGCACATTCTGAACTTATCAAGCTAGGATTGGAGAAGTCTGCTGTTTGGTGTGTCCTTATTTCGATTCTCCATGAATACATTCAGTACTAATTCACTGGCAGCCACCCGGAGAAATATCTTCTTCCAATACACATCATGCTAAAAATACAAAATGTTCCTGATGGTAGGTCATTGAATAATATTGCTATGCTGGCACCTGCTCACTCTCCAAGATACCGTTATTATCAAAAAGAATACATCTAGAGGAATAAGGTTTATTCCGATTCAACGCGATCTTGCCATCGAATGCACCAAAATCTTCCCTGCCTCGTACAACGAGTATACTCTGGCGGAGATATGTTTAGCTCTGTCAGGCCCAGGCCTTCTTAGACTCAAAAAGGAGATCAGGCCAGACATAAATAAAGAGTTGAAAATTGAGCTCAGTACCCCGGGACTTACTGCCAACCAGAATGGTTACTTTATGAAATTATTAGAGTTACTCTGGAGAGATGTTTCTGTCTGGATATTGAATGGAGAGCTCGTCGAATCTCATACTAAGGGCGCGAAGAAAAAGCTCGCAACAATGGAGACGGTGACCCCTTTTCCGGCAAATGGTGGTGGTGAGAATGACTGGTGGCAAATGGAAGTGTCGATTTATTGTCACGGGCTGGACAAGATTCCCAAGATTGGGTCGGCATATGAACTTCTGCAAGTTGTTGAGAAGGTTGCTTGACCTGGATTTTGTGTTTTTCTCCCGTGTTCACCCATTGAATGTTGGTAACTCGATCCTGCTGATTGAGAATTGAAATTTCAATCAATTCTATATTTTCTCTGCTGAGAACTTTTACTCGTTCTTTTTACTGTATCATCGGCCTTGCAAACAACCAGCGGTGGTAGACCATATATCAGGTATATTTCCGAAGCCGGAGTCTAAATTTCGTGAGAACTTCGTCTATTCTAAGGCCGCTTTGACTTTTTCTTGTTTGTCATTTCAAATTGGTTAGAGATAGGATATCCTTGAGTTTCTCGAATTTGCGAGAAGCATGAGTTACAATCATAGAGACTGACCGGTGCCGTGGACTCATACAATGAGGCAGTATCAGAGGAGATGTGACAAGTAATGATATCAGAAATACAGTCTTTTACTAATATGAAAAATGGAGAAAAAAATGCACCTTCCCAATGTAAATTCAGACCATGCCGTGTGTTGCCAGACGTAGGTTCAAAAGGGCGAGTCCGCTTCGACCATTTCAGATCCCCCAAATCAATAACCATCAGAAATCAGACGGCTAACTTGGTCATCCCACAGCATATTATATCTGGTATCTACTTCGGTCGAATTCACGCCATGATATGATGCAGAAAATTGAAAAGTGCTCATCGAAGCCAATATCCCTTCCGTATAGCCTCGTAGAGAGGCCTTTCCACGCTGATAAGCGAGCCGCTTAAAGACTTTTCCCGAGGATCATCACTGAGGGAGTCAGGAGACTCTGAGGTACGCCGAGTAAGTGCATTGATGAAATTTATCTTCGGATCAAAGCTAATGAGTACCAGATATTTATGGCCTGATAGGAGACCGGGGAAGACATCGAATATATCATGGATCGCTCATCCGAAACGGTGCTCACGGTGCCTGTTGGTGTGCCTGGATAAAGAAGTGTGATAACACTGGAGCGTGAATCTTTCGATGGCCAAAGACGAACACCTCGACTAGTAAATCGCTCTTCCGAGCCATGAATGGGCCGACCGTCGACGCCAGTTTGTGTTTTAAACAACAAACCTGCTCCATTTTCATCATCGATTGTGCCCCTGGGTTTTCTGGATACTGCTCGTATGCGGAAAAAGTCTCGAGATTGGAATTCTTCTTCCGTTATAGGGTCGTTTACGAGATCTAAAAATGTTGCCGCCGATAGATGGTAAGTGTGGAACTTGGTGCGCGCGGTAGTGAATTCCCGTCGGGAGTGTTGATCGCAGGCGTGGTTGAACTCGGTATGATAAGAATGACATAACCGTTGGTTGGGGTACTCGGTAAATATTTCGGCGATAGTTTCGACCGGGTCGAGGTCACTCCATGAGATATTTGTGTCTCCTTTGACCGCTTCTTCCGACGTAGGAAGAGGTCCGATGTAACAAGTGCGGCGACTCTCGCTCTTCCCACCAGGCCATTCTCTGCGGCACTCAACTATGACAGGTCGACCGGTCACTTCGTCAAGGCGCATAGACAGATTGGTCCATGGATCGTCGTGTTCGCCACTCCCTTTATGCAGAGGCCGTAGAAGTCCTAAAACATACATTTGCAGACCGATAAGCCCTCCGCTATCGGATCACACTTTATTTCAATGGTTCTGAGAATATAAATATCTCCAAGGCGGTTTTGAAATGTAGTCCATAGACTTTCACCCCATCATATCATACACAACCCTATCTATCGAAGATATCGATATTCCTCTTTCCGCGCTCCTCGCCCAAAGCAATGGCATCGAGAGAGTCAGTGGTAGTGCCATAATACTTGGCTTTCGTCCAGATAATCCGTCTACGCCCCACATCTTACTCTGCCAGCGCTCTCCCAATGGTATAGATGACGATGGAGAGCTGAAAAAGAATTCCTTTCCTTGGACCTGGGAGACCCCAGGTGGTGGGGCACTGTCGGAAGACGGGACGATTTTGGGGACCATGGTGCGCGAGACTGCTGAGGAAACTGAATTGGTACTCTGGGCCGCTTCGAGCCGGGTCTACCGTGTCACTTTCCTTCACAGAGGAAATTGGATGGCGAAATATTTGGCCATAGCGAAGACTAGCGAGAAAATGAATATTCAACGATTGTGGTCTGACGAACATGACGGGCCTCGTGGCTCGGATGAAAAACCAATCCAGCTGAGGGACGACGAACATCTCGACTACGTTTGGGCTACAGAAGAACAAGTTCAAAACTGCATGTTTTACGACCCGAGCGATACGAACAAAGCAGGAATTGTCATGATCCAAAGCAACAAAGATGTTCTTCTGGACTTTTTCTCGTGGCTGAAGGACGATGGTGCTTGCATGGAGTACCCTCTGCCCGAGCTGCCACTGCAGAGCGATCAGAGATAGCATCTGATTCGACGTACCCGCTGGATACAGTTGGTAACTGTTTGAACTGTCGTGTCAATTTCGGTTTCTGTTTATATACATGTCTCGTGACCACATTGCATTAATCGACCGAAGAGGTCGGCCTGCAGAGTATGAGGAGCAGAGATAACATGAAGGATTGAATCTATGGGCCTCAGTTTCCGGCTAGCTACATACCACCAATACTCTCGTTTATTTTCTGGTAGATTTAGCATAGCAAATAATCACGCGGAATCTGGGAAGGAAATTTCTACAAAGCTTTGAATAGGATCAAGTTCTAGTCAATGACGCACGTGGGATTCAGGAAGGATAATTTATTGAGCCAATTCCGTAGCCCATATTCTCTCGTCGTGGCAGGGCATTGATCAGCAGCCGCGAAGACGAATATCTACACGGAAATGTCTCGAGTATAAAGCAACCGATTCCCCATCTAAAAAATTCACTGCAACCAATATTTTTTTGGCCCAGTCACTAAAGCCATGCAACGCGCGTCGGAAGTTAAAGTCTATCCACCTGCACGGTGTACATATAGCAGGTATGCCAATTCTGAGTCAAATGGCCAATACAGTTATTAATGGAGTAGCTTTTGCTTCGATGTGATTAAAACCAGTGGTAGATTCTCTGTATGGCCTACATTGGGCTTTCATACCCAATGTCAATGTACGTTGGATATCCAGTGGACCGACTTCTCACCGGCACAGGTTTTTCTCGTGATCATGAAAATGCCAAATCACAATGTCCATTGCGGTGAGGACCTGAGGTACCTCTTAGATATCATGCATACAAGGCTGAGCAGACCCGAAGTCGGTGGTACAGATGAAGGACATTTTACTCAACTTGCTATGGGCTTTGGAGAGAATTATCGCATGATGTCACGCGCGGATGATAAGTATGAGGCTTCGCCAGTCCTGTCCCGGGTCGAGGTGCGGCTGCTAGACATTCAGCTAGTGTTTCCTGGAATTTGGAGGGTCACTGCGTTGCGGCTGTTTGCCCTTGGTTGTGTGACTAAACAGGGAAGCTTAGCTGAGCTAGCTGGAGTTTTTTATGCTAAACCAGCAATGAACGATACTCGGCCCCCCCCCACGGCTGAAAATAGAAAACAAAAGTACATGGAAGAATCGGATCTCATAAAAGACAAGATCCTTTACCCTATTTCGACTCGGCAACAAGACTAGAGGTACACTAAGTTCGCTATATTATAAAGCTCCAGTGGCCCAGGTCCAGAATTGAAAGATTATTCCCGGGTGACTGTTTATTCGCTGCTACTCGTGACTGGAAGAAATGCACGGCCGCACACAGCGCCAATCTGGCAAAAGAGCCAGGCGTCTGCTTTTCAGAGCGAGGAAAGTTGCGTGCCTGCCGTGTCGACGACGGAAAATTCGTTGCCGGGGTAACGGGCCTCCTTGTGGAACATGTACGTCTCGCAAGATTGGAGACGCATGTGAATATCCATGTCAGGAAGCAGGGAGTTTCGTGGAAGCGGTGTCACCAGTAGCTGAAGACAATTGGGAAAGCACGGGACAGTCGCCTGCCGAAGAGGAACCGTGTGATGCGACTGACCGGCTTTCGCCCGGAGATAACACGAGCACCCTCTCGAATCTGAGCTCGACTCCCAGTTTAGACTTCAGCGGCACCGACGATGATTTCGATACCAGTCTAGATCGCGAAGATGTCATATTCGCGCAGCCGCTCAAGGCTTTGCCCTGCTGGGAAATGACCGAGAACTTGAAAAGGCGATATTTTGCATTGGTTTCTCCAGTTTCGTATTCCTGACCGACGATGATTTCTTCTGCTAACAGATAACCAGCTATTTTGCATTTTGTCTCATGCAGATTTTGAGAAGGAATATCTGATTTTCCATCAACATCCCGATGTCGCACCTCTCTCCTGGCTATCCCTACTTTTCGCTGTCCTGGCACTCGCATGCCAAGCGGAGGAACACCCAGACAGAATTTCCGCTTCTAGCGTCTTATCAAAGCGATATGAAAACGCGGCTTGGGATTCTTTATTGGTAGACAATCCTCCTTTCCAACCATCGAAGACAGCGCTGAAGGCGATGATACTCATCATTTACGGTCGACTTCATCGCGGTAATGACGTGTCGGTGGATCTTGAGATGGCTTGTAATATGGCGGACGTCTTAGACCGGAAGCCGTGCTGCGATCGGTCCCAAACTTACGAGGAATGTCGGAATATCTGGTTTAGGTTCAAAATGCTGTTCTCCATGAGCCAGCAGGTACATGGCAGTACCTTTGAGCAGGAATTCTTTCAAAGTAGAGGGCATTTAGTCAGTGCCCACTGCCATAATTCTATTGGAATTTTTAGGCTGACAATGCACTCATAGAAACCTTCGCCATTGGAAGATCAATTTACCATGTTTCATTTCAAGCTACTCGAAGTGTCAGACAACATTATGTACAATACACGGTGCGGCCTCTTCTCAGCATGGAACCTACTCGGCCTTGTTGGTCAGCTGTCTTACATCGAATCATCTTTCGCCGAGTTCTCTAGTGAGCTCAATGCTTCTGATCCACAATTTGGAGTTCGGGTTGTGAAACTGGACATCCTGCAATATACGCTCCACTATCTCCTTCTCTGTGTTTATATATCATTCCTTGAGAAGTATCTTCACGGAGACACCGCGCCACATATTCGGTGTTACGCAGCCAGATGCGTTGAAAGTGCAAAAGTCATCCAGAGAATATGTCGCTCTTGGACTAATGGTCAGCACTGCAAGGCTTTTGGATGGTTTTTCGGAGGCTTTGGAAAGTATTATGCAGTCGTGGCGGAGAAGACCCTTAGCCGAGTGAAGGGTGATGGAGATGAAATGGTCGGGCTCAGAGGAGAATGACAATGGTGTAATGGTACTCGTGGTTTTTGGCTGTGACAATTTGAGACCTTTTTCAGTGCCCTTGTCAGGAACATGAAAACTCGATGTAAACGTATTGTATCAAACAGCTAAATGGAGGCCAAGTATTGTTACAAGCCCGATAGAGAACGTGTTCTTGAACTTGGCTATATGTCCCTAGATCTCCAATAAATACCTTCTGCATCAACTAAATGTTTATGCTAAGATTGCCTAGTCATTCTTTTCTTGTCTTTCCCCCATGTCGAACAACGAAAAAAGGGCTTTCATATTGGAAGGCATGTTGAAAAAGGCGGACAAAAGCTACGTCTGCCCCGCATGTTTCAAGTCATACTCCCGAATGAGCGACTTGAGCAACCACCTCAAACAATTAAAGGGCACGGAAGATCATAAAGGTCTTTCGGAGAGAGAGGAATCTGAATTCCGACGCAGCTACGGTAGAACCATTGGGTGGAAACCAACAGATGAGGAGCTAGAACTCGAGCTGCCACGCGAACGATACGCTGCTTTTACAAGAGACGTCATCGTTGAGAAAATCGCCTCACAGACAAAAGACATTTTGCAATCTAAGATCCAGATATATCTGCGAATTGCTCTGTCCTCCGGAATGGCGCACGTGTGTCCCGAATGTGTTGACCATGATTTGGGGTATTTCAATAAGATGGCCGATTTCGATATTCATTGTTGGGAAATGAACGATCAAACACACATGGGTCTATCATCAAAGACCCCGGCAGACTTCCTTTCTGCCTACCTCAAAGCAATGGGGCTCTCCCAGATCGAAGAGTTGCCCCCTGGAAGCGGTAAACCGGGACGCTGGACCAATAGACGATATTTGAAGACTGACTATGTGTTCAAAACAAAGAAAAGGTATTACCACAAGGAAGAAAGATGCAAGCTCAACACTAATCACACACGACCTAGGTTTGTTGCACCGGAAATTACAGCTGCCGAGGAGCAGGCAATTATTTAACCGAGATGGGTCGTAATTTGTGTGTCAGTGAAACAAACGCAGTTGTGCCTGCTAATGCATGGATGTGTGATTGCGCTATTCTAGCATCTGAAGCAGGAAGTAAAAATAGCCAAGAAATTAAATCTAACGGGCGAATCCTCTGGACCGCGATGACTTTCGATGTAAAGTGAAAGATCCCTTGTAACCACTTCTAAGTAAGTCAAATCTTTCCGCGCAAATGCGGACAATGCAGGTAAAAGAAAATGCAACGCATGGCTCCCGCCCATGCCGCTGCGATAAGCTTGATAGCCACCAGTGGGGTCGATCAGCTTGCCGTACTTGCGCGAGCATTCTGTTTGTAAGCCGCTCGCTTGTATACCTTGCACTACAGCTGTCAAGGAATAGTAGTTGCAAGTAGTGTGGAGGGCCTGAAAAGGTCTGTCAGAATTGATATTGAAATTGAGACGGTTCCAGCATACCTGAGCAAGACCATCAATTTTAGATTCCAGCCCAATCCCAGCAGCCATGCACTCTTTCACATCCACCATCAGTTGGTTCCACCGGGAGCTCAAGATGGAACGCGCTTGGGCTCCATCTTTGGTGAAGGCGATCGGCACATAATCTCTGAAGAGAGCCATGTCTTTGCGTGATATGAGGCTCGCAAGAGCTGGAACGTCGTTCCATCGCAATTGCTCCAGAAAATCGTTTCTGTTGTTGAGTGGCGTGCTCCAGTCTGCCTCAAGTGGCCTCAAAGAATTGTGCAAACGGATGCCCAAAACCTGCAAGTCCTGCAATAACCTTTCCGCCGAGTCTGCTCTCTCAAGAACCTCCTGGAGGGGTCGGGTTATAAATTTGTCAAGAGTTGCTTCTAACCTGAAGGCTAATCCGCCTACTCCGGCTCCGTTCAGGCCCTCATATGCCGGGCATTGGAGTACTGCTCGGCTGGCCTCTTGCCAAGTGTAGTCAATAGTGGCATAGATTAGAGGGTCGCTTTTAAGCTTTGCCAGGCTCTATCCATGGTTAGAAAATTCATTGATAGGCGGCGCAGACTGTAAACGTGAGTTACCTGTTTGAGATCCTGCAATTGGTTCAGATGCTGCGGGGACTTGATCAAATCAAAATAAAGCTTGGCATCAAGAACTTCATATGTCCAGAGGGATGTCTTGATCTGGTCAGAGGGTAGATCCAAAGCTCTCCGAACGAAGTTGCCGTAAGGGATCTGCAGCAATTTCTCGAGGCTTCTTTGGGAGAGGTCACAAGCGACCTTAGAAGGGCCTTTGTTTAAGATTTCATCCAGCCCTATTTCCCAAAGCTTTTCGCGTGGAATAGGGGCTTCCGCTCTAGGAGAAGTGCTCTGTACTCCGGACGCAGAGACACCACTAGTAGCGAGATCAAAACAGTGCAATCGATGTTTGTCAGTCTCACGGCTGAGAAGTTGTTGGAATTCGTTCTTGCGCCAATCTCTCTTTTTGGCTTGAAATTCTTCTACCTCTCGGTCGGCTTCATCACTTGGATTATCCATGGAGACCTCGTGCTCTGTAGACGCAGTGCTAAAGGACGAAGAAGGTGCTTTGTGCATGGCTGTAGTATCATCTCAGTTAGTAAAGGCATAACAGCTTGTGAGTGTGGTGATGGGAATGGAATAAACCTTTCTGGCTGCCATCGCTAGCCTGCGATATGCCGTCCATCTTGATCAAAGGAAATTGGGAATCCATCATGAGCCAGTAGCCAGTGCCAGGCGACGGGGTCATAGATATACCAACCTGCAGACGCTGTCCATCATTTGCATGATCGCTGGCCCTGTGCGACCGGAGTGGTGGGCCAATCACCAGTCGTCTGAGCCCCTGGGCATCTAGTGCAGCCCCCAGGAATATTGTAGTTACTTTTTCCGATATAAGGATGGCACTCATCGTCGGAGGTCTAGATCTTTAGGCTGGCTGGGATTGGATTGATGGGTTTATTCGGCTGCATTCTGATTGCGCAAGGATCATCGGGCCCCACCATGCGGTTTCTGGGAATGTAAAGATACCAGCTGATTACGGATGGCTTTCAATACATCGTAATTCTTTGAATCAAACCTACTCTAGAGACGCAATGAAAAGTCCGGGGACCGGGCGAAGCGGGAAATTGGTGATCTCTTTTCTAGGTGTGACGACTGAATTACAACTATTCTCCTAAGCTGGCAGTACTCCCGCACAAAATCGTTGAAAAAAATCAACATATCAATGTATCGAAGTAATAACTTCTACATTCATCACCGATTTTCCGATGATTTGGGGAGAAACATTCGAAGAACGTTTTTAACTTGATCAACACCTGCACGCCCAGTATCCCAGGAAGCCATTCCTAATCCGAAATCAGGGACGTCATTGATGAACATGAACGTGGTGCCATCTAGCGACTCGAGAAGGTGGTATGTATTTCTTCTGTCATTTCATCCTTCCCTCTCTTGCTGATGTGCCATGTTAGGCCGGTGTCACAGTCTCTATGCCAAAGCGATAACTCTCTATCCAGCAATGATAGCCAGGCCACCAACATACTCAGAAAGACCCCACATCATGCCAACCGAGTGGCAGCACGATCTGATCAGTTGAACAGCGTTGCAGGTTGCAGTTATGCTGTCATCGACATGGAAACGCAGCTTTCCATGCGGCCTAATATTCCCACAAAAGACGAGGCACACCAGGCTGCGGAGCTTGCATTGCAATATTTCCAGGGACACCTCGATAGCCTCTCTTCCCATGAGCTCAACTTTCTGTACCAAATTCGGGAGCGTCTTCAATGAATCCGTTAGGCCATCTCGAGCCACCGCGTATCTGTCGTCGATGGGATTCGCGGTGATCTTGCGAGTTCACTTCGCAAGCATATAGATCTGAAGCCCACCCATAGCCAAGTAATGCTATTGCAGTATTTCTCTCCACAAATAACTAGCTCAGAAAACATATAAACCCTTGATGGTATTTCTCTGGCCATTCTTCACGATGGTGTTGATATGAGATCGGGTCGTAGGGTCATGAGATCGGGGCTTTCGGAGGATGGTAGTTGATAGCAAATAAATAATACTAGATAGCAGCGTTAATTCTTTTCTTTAAGGGCCAATGATTTGGGCGCTGTCAGATAACACTTCTATTGTTCAGATATGCGTGGAGAATTAAAAAAAAAAAACTCCAACACCAATCATCAATGTCCTGTGTACTTATGTGAAAAAAATTACCCGGATGTGATTCCATTGGGTTGTGGATATTCCATCAATTCCACCTCCAGGCCACGAGCATTATCATCGTTGGGAAGTGAAGCCTGAAGTGCGACTTGGAAGTAGTGGTGCAATATCTCACAGCACATTTGAATACGCACCAACGGAATGCATGGACCTTTATTGACACGCCCACGCGGCAAAATGGGGCAAAAAATCCACCACAAGGATCAAACATCTTCTACTTCCCTGCTGCATTCCTCTCAAGGTTTTAACCAGCTTGCAGCCCATTTTTTTATGTTCCAGCACCGGCAGACTGATATCATTTCGGTGGTGGAGGGGGAGCACCTGGCTTCTTAACGCCTGTCGTATCATAGGCACCACGACTGCAAATTTCAGTGGGGTATTCCAACGGGACCAGGCAATGCGACTTACCTTCGCAGATCCTTCATCGCGCGGCTTTATTCTCGGGGTAACAAGCAATTGGAAACCGGAAAATCGCGGCGAGTAATCAGTAAGTCTAGGAAGATGGGTTCTGACTTTGTGTATGTGGGCTCGCTGGTCCCTGAAAGGCCAGATTGGGGTAAGACTTCTCACCTTAAACTCCTCGTTCAATGCAATAGGGGCGATTTAGTGGTTCTAGACCAGAATAGACCATCACAAATTCGCTCAAAATATCATTTTTCAGTTTCGATTTTATGATCAAGTATTGAGTCCTTCGAACAATTTCCCTCGTAGTTCAAGAATCAGAGTGAGTAATGTGATTGGGGCCCGGATCTTAGGAACCGCACTATGTGTAAGTCTTAGAGGAGCTGCCTGTCTGGTTCTCGATGAACCTCG